CTGCTCCTCAGGGGCTAAAAGAAGCTGTCACTGCCCCCTGCTTAGACAACTGTCCCAGCCTCAGCTTCAGGCTGACTTTTCAGCTTTTAAAAGACCTTCTCACCTTCACCTGTCATGTTGAGGTGGAGATTTACAAGGAACTATCTATCTTACAAACACAGTCTGAATGTATATGAATCCTTATCCTTATGCTTGTGTTTTAACGTAGTGTGAATATATTTTACACATACACACAAACACAAAGCAAGAAATATTTTCATTGACTTACTTGGTTGTGAAGTTCTCTTTAACATACAAAAGAAGATACTATTGTTTCTTTTGACTTCCCCCACCCTAATTCAAATTCCAAATTGTTATTATTGCCCCAACACAGGGTACGTTCTTGGGGTTGGGGATGAGGGGCAGAGATAAAGAAAGAATGAAAGCCAGCTCTTCAAGGGGAAGGAGGGGAGACCGTCTGGGAATCTCAAGAACATCTTTATTTCCCCTTTTAACTCTCCGCCTTTCTGATTAAAGGGTTCAGCCCCGTTCCCCCGCCCGCGTTCAATTATCCCCCAGCATCTTTTCTCTAAATCTGTCACCACCACTTGCTAAACGGCAGCCCCACCGTGAGCCATTAGCCCTGTTCTTTTCCGTTTCGCTTTTCCCCCCTTCAGTTTCTCCCTGCAAGCTTTATAAATTTCCCTTGGAGGAGGAGTGTTCAAACGGGTGGAAGTCTAAACACAATGCAACCTGAGAATTTGTCACTCTCCGCATATGCTCCTGAGTGCTTTAATCCCAATTAGGGGCGGCTGACACACGGTCCTATTCATTCCCATCAGCTCTTGAATACATTTGCCTAGAAATGAACTTCACAAATAGAGGCGCTCCTAAATGTGCCCAACAGCAAGGAAAATCGAATTGAGTGCGGGCTCATTCGGCAGCGGCCGGCAGAGGAGCGTTGAATGTGGAGGTGCCCCGAGACATTGCAATTCAGCAACATGCTCGCTGACTTTTCTTTGCACCATGTCAACCGAAAGAACCAAGAAATAAGTTGGGAAACTCCGGTTAAAAGGCAACTTGAGAGGGACTCTGAATACTTTTATTGAGCCTCTTCCAATGAAGCACTTAAAAAACAACATAAAAGGCACCACAAAACCCACCAGCGGCGTCCGGGCTGCATCCTAGCCCCGCGATTGGAGCCTCCCCGGCCGCGGTGCACCCACCGGCCTCGCAATTAAGGGGAAAATGGCCTCGTTGCCGGCGTGTCATCTGTTGGCGTTCCCAGAGCCCGTCGCCGCCGCCCTATTCAAGCCCGGCCTTAATGTCCCACCCGCGCCTCGGGGGCTGCGCAGCTGGTCCGTGCTGACCCCGCGGCCTCGCGGGCGCGGACACCCTCGGGAGGCGCGGCTCGGGCCACCTCAGACCCCGACTCCGAGGAGTCTTCACGTTTCCCTCGCGGCTTCTCCTGCAGCCCCCGACTCCAGCGGCTCCCTCCATCCCGGGGTTCGGGACTCTGCGCACCGCCGGGGTGGTGGGGGTGGAGGGTTTTGGTGACTCCCCAACACCCCGGTCCTTAAGATCTAGCGACACCGGGGGCAGCCAACTGCCCGCCCCTGGCCCCCGGCACCTGAAGCCCAGGAGCTTTGCGTCCCGGACGCCGGCAGCTCTGGAAGAGGGTGTTCCGAAAGGAGGCGCTGATCGCAGCCTCGAAGTCGCGCGGGGGCTCTTTTCCTCGTGGCGGAGTCGCCGTAAGTTACACGGGCGCATCGCTCGCAGCTTTTGGAGCCCGGAGCTGGGACGCAATCCTGCGCGGGCGGGGTTCGCCCCCAACGCTGTCGGCCTGGGGAAACGCTGCGGCGAGAGCCAGTCCCGGCGGCAGGCCCCTCCGCTGGCTGCTGCTTCGGGAATCCCGTTGCGTTAGGGGCAACCTGTTACGGGGCGGGAGTCCTGCCCGCGCGGTCCCTGGTGGGCAGAGAGCGGGGCCGCCCGAAACCGCCTCTCCCCGCACCTCGATGCAGAAGGGATTACGCTTTAATGCGGCCTCTGGACGCCCATTTTAAGTTCATAAAAAAGCCGAGTGGAATGTTTTGATTGAGTCTCAACATTGTCTTTGAATAAGGCTGAGACCATGTAATTAATGTGTCTTTTTAATAAGGGACAATACGGCCGTTCAAGCTATTTAATTTCATTTAATTTTCCATCCCATTTGCTGCATAGCCCGCTTTTACTTTTAACACCCAGCTTTTCACGGCCCATCTTGCTCCACTGGGCACATTAGATTGGTTTCACCCTTGCTTTTTAGGGGAGGAAAAATAAAAGAAAATGTGTTCCTTTCCTCCTTTGTGGACAATTTATTTCACTTGGGGAACTTCAACTCTGAGCCACAGGACAGAATAAAACTCAGCGAGCTGGTGTGAATGCCTCTGGCGCAGTCCCTTTCTTCTCGTGGGGCTGGGAACCAGCCACAATTGGCTATATTAATAAATAACTTTCCTCACAGTCGGCCTTTACATGGTCCTATTGATAAAATTGTTCGCGTGTCGTTCACGCTTTTTCACTCATTAAGGAGGGCCAGGGAGGAGCCCCCGAAACCAGGCCCCGCGCTCGCCCCTTCCCGCTCATAGTCCTGGTAATTTAAACTGGGTGTCATCCCCGAGTCTCCAGGCCAGAGGTTAGAGGGACATGTTCATGGCTTAAATTTATTGCCCTCTACTCTTCGGAATGGCTTCCTCTCCTCCTCCCCTCCCCGGGCTTTCGCCATTCATGGGCCAGCGGATCAAAGTCTCCTTTCTCTCAGTCGCGGGCAGCTTTCGTGGCCCGTGGAGGGGCATGTGGAGGAATAAGGGGAAAAATCAGTGGCAGCTCCTTCAGAAAGTGGCCCTGGGCATGGCGTGGCTGCAGGGTCAGAGGAACTGCAGCATGCGGCCGCTCAGACGCTCCGAGCGCCTCTGTTCTCTGCCCCAGCAGCCGCGTCTGCACAGACCTTGGAGTTAGAGTTAGCACAGAGGCCGGCCATCCATGTATCATGTAGACCTGCTTGGATTGCCCCAGTAAGCAAACCACGAGTTTTGGAGCACCTCAAACCCACTCATTCTATAGATCATTGCGGTGACCTTCGCAACCGTTGGGTGGAAGCCAAGTGTCTGCATTATCATTCCCTGTGTAAGGGTTTGGAGACTGAGGCTCTGAAGCTATTCACAGAAGGGCCTTTGAGTCTTGAGTGACAGCACAAACTGAATGACCCCGAGTCTGCTGACCGTGTCCAGTAAGGCGAACTCAGGTCTCAATCCAGCCATGCCACACGGAAATATTTTGAGGGCCTTGTGAGACAAACTGCTGAGTTAAAGGTGTCGCCACCTTGCGTCCTGCCGCTGTTGTTAGTCAGAGTCACCCTATCAGTAGCCTAAGAACAGCACCTTCCTAGGGCAGAGCAGAGCCGAGTGGAGAACTCGACTTGGGGGCTGCTGGGAGCCCTCCTCCCATTTATACAGAGGTTGGGCCACAGACACCAGGTCCGAAACTCAGAGTCACTCAGGCCTCGCCTGTAATTCCGCCTTGGGCTAGCGCCCAAATACATAGGATTTGGGGAGCAGTATCCGAGATTAGCAGTGCAAGGCAGGTGTGAACAGAACTGTCACACATATCTGATTAACTAGATTACTTGACTATATATTTTGAAAATAAATGTCCCTACACAAATTGGAGACTTCCCCCAAAGAAAACGAGAAGCACTCTGATTTAACTCTGAAGTATCCATCTCCTAGTTCGTAAACTGGGCTAAAAGGCAGGGGTTTCCAATGCCCACCTCGGCCTCATTTCCCCCATCTTTGGTAAAGGGTTTTTGTTGTTGTTGAGGATTTTTTGTTTGTTTGTTTCCTTTTTTTTAGGCTAGCTTATTGGTTCTCAGGAAATTAGCCCCAAGGATTGCTTCACCGTTTTAAACTTAAACGCAAATCAGGGTTAGGGGCAGTTGGTTGGCATGTGTGGGAGACTTGATTAAAAACCCAGTGGGCAGAACCCCTCTTCCCCCTTGGGTGTGGTCAGGGTGTGGCATACCCGGCAAAGCCGGGAACCTGCAGCTGCTTCCCATTCTCCAGAGTAGTGTGGCCTGGGAGTATCCAAGACCACTTATACACAGCTGACCTCGTCTCCCAAAAGTGGTCCAGAATGCTTCATATTTCAGGGCGAAACTGGACAGAGGGAACGATAAAGCTGTACTAAATAGACGACTGGCCTGAACCCAATCCCCTGAAATGGTAATATGGTCGTTATTTAAAAAGTGTAGGTATTTTCTGGTGTTTTCCCATCAAGTACCTGCCTAATTTCTGTATGGCACACGCCAGAAATCAATAGAAGTTAACAAGTCCTCCAAACAGTCTCCATCTCTTTGTTTAATCTCCTTTACAATAAAGCCAAGGGGAGAGAATTAAAAATCTTTGAAGTAGACCAAAGCTCAAAGGAATCAGCCAAGTAGACTTAAAGTAGTCACTTATTTCCCAAAACTGGTTTGTCGGCTAACAATAAAAGGAAGTAAAATTTATGGAGAAATTATACAGTGGATTTGTCACTTAAAATATCGTAACTGTCTCGAGGACAATACCCCATGCTGAGGATTAATGGTCCCGCCGGACCTTTGATTCAGCAGCGCCTTTTCTTCGCCCTTGACAAATTGGATTTTTAGGAATGGGAAGGTCGCCTGGACCATTGTGCGCCAGCCATTCAGAGGCCTCGATTATGCAGGGGGCTGAGGGAACCACTCCATGTGACCCTCTCGGGTGGGACTCTGCAGCTGCTTCGCAGCACAACTCTCTCACCAAACTCCGCGCCCTTGCGCTGGCGGTGCCAAAAGGCGCCCGCCCGGATTGAAAAGGCGCACTGCATGCCCGGCCGCGTCACTCCGCGGGCGGAGGACGCACGTCGGGGCACTGCTCCCTGGCTCGCGCGCGACTAGAGCTCTGTCGCTTGCGCCCTGCAGAGGACCCTGCGCGTCCAAGCGCCTGCCCGGCACCGCGGCAGCAATGAATGGAGCCTCCCGAGCTCCGGCCACCAGCGTGAGTGCCGATTGCTGCATCCCGGCAGGCCTGCGCCTCGGGCCGGTGCCCGGAACCTTCAGGCTGGGCAAGTACCTGTCAGACCGCAGGGAACCCGGGCCCAAGAAAAAGGTATTAGCCATCCCGACCTTCGACCCCGGTCGTTCGCCTCCCTGTTACCTGGCTCAGGAAAGGGTTAGATAGGGTAGATAGGAGAGGTGTGATTGAGTCTTTCGTTACCTGCTGACTGTGCCAGGTGGAAAGGGACTCTGATTATTTCCCACGAGTAGCATTAATTGAGAGCTGAACTGGACCGGGCTGAGGGAAGAGGACGCAGCTGAGAGGGGACATCACCCAGTAGGGGTGCACGGGGCTCTTTGCGTGCCGTGACCACTCGGAACTCGCGGTCTCCCCGCAGCTCTGAGGTCTCAGCAGAGGCGCGCCTGGCTCTGGCCTCTGCAAAGGCTGCTTTCCACTGTTTTACAATGGTCAAGCCGTTGAGGGCTTTTCTTATTTCCATTTTTCAATATGCTAATTTGAGGCTTAAATTACCTTAACATAATTTAATATTAACTCCGAAATAAATAACCCTTGGGAAACTCTCAGTTCCTAGAACCTTCCCAGATTTCTCTTTCCGCGGATGTCTGCTTGTGGGTTTGGGGTAAATGGATAGAGGGTGGTGAGATAGGTAGTGACTTGGACGTGGGCTCCGTGGGCGAGGATTCGGGCTCCTGCAGCAGGGCTCTGAGTGCCCAGGGTCGCACCTGGGGGACGTCAGCGGCAAACCCGCCAGCTCTGACTACCCAAACAGCTTTGTGACACCAGACCCGAGAGGGTTTTCAAGGTTCCCGCCCGCCCTCAAGCTCCCCAACTCGCACAGTTGGGCGAACAGCCACAGGGAAATGAAGGTGGTGTGGGGGTGTAGGCTGGGAAAGGACCCTAGTTTTGGCTTGCCGTTGGCTGGACCTTTCTTGTAAGAAATTGTTCCGGTGCTCAGTCAGGAGTATCGGCATCTGGCTGCTCACGCAAGCGTCATCTCATCTGCGGTTTAAAAGCCGGGTTCGCCGCGCACTACTCCTTTAAATGCGCTTTAATTGCTTTAAAATGGTCAGCTTGCGGCCGCTTTGTTCAAACGTTTTCGCTGCCGGGGTCTTCAGCACCTCCATGAGGTGTAGGGAGATTGGGGGTGGGGGACACGAGAGGGGTTGGGGGACACTTTGGGTTCTGGCACTGACTTCAAAACGTCACTACCTTGGTAACTGTGCTGCTCTCAGATCCGCAAGAGAGAGAACTGGAGTGGGGGTAGGGGATGTGTTGGTACAAGGTGCGCCCAGATGAGGGGGGGCGGTGGGAGGTGCCCCCACCCCTCCTGTTGCCAGGTGGGGCGAGCTGGGGTACTGTTTTGTTAGACAGCCTCTCCTCTTCCTTCCCCTCCCAAGAAAGGGTTTCAAGTAATTACCCTGCTCCCAGCAGCCCGCAGCGGTCTGGTCTAAGCTAACACAACCATTTTCTTGAGTCGGTCGGGTGGGAGGGGGGTGGGTAATTTCCTCTGGGTTGTGGGCCTGGCTGTGGCGCAGGGAAGAACGACCACTGCTTGTGTTGCAGGTGCGCATGGTGAGAGGGGAGCTTGTGGACGAGTCGGGGGGCTCCCCTCTGGAGTGGATAGGGTTAATCCGGGCAGCCAGGAACCCCCAGGAACAGACTCTGGAAGCTATTGCAGACTTACCCGGAGGACAGGTACTATGGGTTTCCCGCTGCCAGTTCCATCTACCTGACCTTCACCGAGGTGACCACCAATACTAAAAGCAAAGCGCTTTAGTTCCAACTCTCACTTAAACGTCCCAGCAACCCTATAATGTACATATCATTATTTCCCCTGCCTGGATAACGAGGGAAGTGAGGCTCAGAGAAGTCCAATAGGTTTTCCAAGGTCACACAGCATCAGTGCAGGGATTCGAAACTTTCCCTCTTAGTTTTTTTTTTTTTTGATCAATTACCCAGGGAATGACAGCAAGCTGTCCTGTTTCTTGCGTCCCAGATCTTCTACCGAGCACTGCGAGATGTCCAGCCAGGGGAGGAGCTGACTGTGTGGTATTCCAACTCCTTGGCTCAGTGGTTTGACATCCCCACAATTGCAACTCCGACGCACGACGAGAAAGGTATCCCCACTTAGAGGGCCTTTGGACCACAGTGGGTGGGCAAGCCTGCAGCTCACCTCTACTCTTTTAGGGCCCCAGACTTAAAAAGCCTTTCTGTTGCTCTGTGTAAAATTGAATTCACTGTTCCCGTCTGTGTGGGCAGAGAGGTGATGTCACCCACTACCTCCTTAAAGTCAACAGTAAATGATAACAGCAACAATAATAATCAGGCTGTCTATGGCAGGAGGAAAATACTCTTTATGAACTTCATGGGAGTCATCCTTTCCTATTGCATATCCAATTAAGAATCAATAAAGAAGCCGTGACTTATTATTAGAGTAATCACATCATGAGCTCCAGGAAGCATAACAAACTTGGAATGCTTTCAGAAGGTGTGGGGGGGGGGCATCTCTTCTGAGCTGGTTGGAAGGAGAGTAATGTACTTCTACAGCATTTTAGAAGCATTACGGTACTTACAGCTGGTCAGTTGGCAAGTCCTGAGTCCCTTCCATTTAAATGGTATTTATGCACTTCCTCTTCCCTACTTAAATTGAATTTGGTATGTATCCCAGTTTCTTCTCAGATTTATTTGATCCCTTCCAAAGCCAAGAGAGGATTTATGCAAATTAAGGTGCAGTAACTAAAGAGAAAAACATTTTCAAAACCTTCCCAAAACACTGAAGAACACTTCCTGTGGAATAAAGCTGGGAAGTGCTAAAGTAGTTGAGATCCTCAGACTCCCATTTAATGCCTCCATGACTTTTTGCCTTGCCAATTGTTTGTTTATCTGTAATTTCCCCTAAAGATAGTTAATATTTAAAGTCAATATTATAAGTGCTGTGAAATATTTTAGTATGCTTTCCTCCTGAATTGCCTGCTCAGTCTCATTGCTTTACAAATAGGGTTAAAGAAAGTAATACAAATGTGGGAATTAAGAAACACTTCATGAACAAGGCAGAATAAGTTTATTTAGAACAATGAATCACTGCAAAGTACCACTGTCTTCTGTAAATTAATTTTATTGACTTTTTGGGTAGATTTATATGCACAGTATTTATAAAAAGTATCCTAAAGTAATTTGTTACTTGCATTACATTATAGTAAATACTTGTGTCAATTTTTTCTAGCAAAAGAGAAACATGCCAAAAGCCCCATAGCGAAGAACGATTCTTAGAACTACTGGCCTTTAAGGGGCCAGTCATCTCCGCACAGAACACTCTCACTTAGGCACTCTCAACTAGTATACAGGCAACTTGTTTGAGTGATAGCCTTCATGTTTTCATTTCAGTCAACTGAACTTAAAACATCATATGGTAACAGATGTCAAAATTGACACCATTTTCCTTTTGTGGAACATATGGGTTATTTTGAACCCTGACTTTCCCACATTTGAGATGCTTGAAATCTTGACGACCTTAGGGTTACTTGAAGGAAAGGAGGCGAGGTCACTTATGACATGTGTTTGAGACATTGGGCATTGGTTGGATTTCAGTCCAGACAACATGTCAGTTGGTTAGGATAAACTGAAAAAGACACATTGAAACTGAAAACACATCTGCTTGAATCTTAAAAAGAAGAAGAAATAAGTAGGGATGACTGCTATTCTTCCAGTATTCACTAATTTCAGTGGATTTCAATTCCAGAGTGAGACCGAAGAAAGTGCTGACCCATTGTTTTAGGAACAAAGCCTACCTGGCTTTGCACTGAGCTGAGTCATTCTGGAGCAGCCTCTGAAAACTTCTTTTTTAAAAAGTGGTGATGAGAAGGGGCACTGAACTTAGGAGAAGGGAGGTTATTATTTAAAATATTAAATCAGTATACTCACCAAGAGAATCCAGGCCTCTTCCCTCTTTTCTTTAAGATTTATTTTACATAAATGTTCAATACAAGGTAACAAAAATATTGAAATAATTTTATCCAAGTCTTCTATAAACAATTAGGATGGGACCTAATAGGCAAAACCTTCCCCTCCTTTTTTTCTGTCTGCTTTCCCTGTGGCTTCAGCTGGAATAAACTACTTCCTACTTGAATTTTCACTTTAGTTACCTGGGGGCTACTACTTGCTTTATGTAAAGCTAGAAGTAGAATACACAAAGGGAGGAAGAGCTGCAATTTTGCTCTGTTGCCCCACTGTTGCTCTGTAGTAGTGTTTAGAAGTTTGAGCTGCTTGTGTGCATGGAGGGAAAATTTAGCTTCTCCATTAAATTTAATGAGACTGACACTTACTTTGAATACTTCATTATGGCTCAACTAACTTGGTTTCTTTTTTTTTACAGAAATCCTTCCCTTCACTATTATCAACAAACCACAACATTAAAAAAAAACACCCAATTGCAAATCGCTGTTCTCTGTAATACAACCTTTTTGAGTGAATATTAACTTCCACAATGTGAAACTGTTTCATACACATTTCTCTTTGATTGAGTTCACAGATCCTGGCAAAATGAGAAACAACTAATGTTAATAATATTACACACAAACAAAAAATGTTTGACACACACAATACTTATACAGATTCCGGTAGAGAATTGTTCACTTATTACAAGTTGATTATCTATATCTACATCACTTCAATATATTCATGTAATAAAAATAAACTATATATCTTTCCCAAAGACTTTACTAAGGTTGGATTTGTGTAGCTATCTAAGAATTAATTAATTAAAAACTGACAACATAATGCAATATCATTCTTTAGTTTTTAGAATATCAGGACACAGGCATTTTTATTTCCTCCCATCAAATTAAATAGGGTTAAAGAGGAAATAAAGATACAAATAATTTTGAAGAATACCAAATCATAGTCCCTATGTGGTCCTTCAGTTGGTCACAGTCCAGGAAAAACTCAGGCAAAGTGTTCAAGGCTGGGAGGGGGTGGGAAGGGTGGATAGTGGACATAAAAGACATTGTTCTATGAAAAGGAATGATTACATATGGCCCATACATACAGGATATTGTCTCGCCGGGTAATGAGGAGCTCACGACTATTAGATTGGCCTTTGTTCAGTTTATCCAAACTCCTTGACATACGCCAGCCACTTATTCTGCAAACGCCAACAGATGGGCCCAGGCCCAGCACAGGCTCAACACTTGATTTAAAGCAACAGCTGCTCTCTGCTCTGTCTCTTCCCTGGCCAGCCTGCCTGAGCTCTGCTCTCCCAGCGAAGATCTGCTCCGAAGGCCCGAAGGCCCGGAGGAAGTCTTCGTTGGAAAGGCCAGATCACCCCTCTTAGCTTCTAAGTAACCCCAGATGATGCAGATGGTGATAAAGTTGATCATTTGGGGACTTCTCGGGGTTCTTGCTATAGTGAGGCTACCGAACTCAGTTATTCCCGGGAACCAAGAATACTGCTTCTTCCCATACCTCTGGTCAAAACCTGTGTTTTGCCTTAGTGGCACTGACGCTTTCTTTCTTGCATGTTCACCTTTCACGGGGTCGCTTTTCTACTCTTTTCTCGCTCAGGGGAGGAGCGCTACATTTGCTGGTACTGCTGGAGGACGTTTAGATACCCCAACAGCCTTAAGGCGCATCTACGTTTCCACTGCGTGCTCAGCAGCGGCGCGGGGCGCGCCTACCTGCACCAAGAGCACGGGTCTCGCCAAGGCGCTGGCGCTGCCGCTGCCGCTGCCGCGGATGGCCTTGGCCTCTCTCCGAAACCCCAGGTGCCGGACTTCGCCGCGGCCACCCCGGCGGGCACTCTGCGGCCCCACCTGCAGGCCCCACTGCCTGTCCAGGCCTGCGGATCCAGGGAGAGCATCAAGCGCGAGGCCTCTTCTGCGCCCTCGGCCACCTCGCCGCCCTTCTCCAAGTGGGGGCTGTCCAAGAAGAGCAAGGAACATCTTGACCGCGCCCTGGACGTGAGCGGGGCCGCCCGGGGAAACGGCCACTTTCTGGGCATCGTAGGTGGCTCCCCAGCAGGGGGAGGCGGCCTGGCCTTATATCCCGGTGTGCGCTCGGCTTTCAAGCCCGCGGGTTTGGCTAGGACGGCGGCGACAGCGCAGGGCGACGCCTACCGGGAGGAGGGCGGTGGCAAATCGGGGACCGGCCTACTGGGAGGGGGTCGGGCGGGAGGGCGCCCCGGAAGCAGGGAGAACGCGGCGGCGGGAGGCGCGGGCCAACACCAGCACCACCACGCTCACCACCACCACCACCACCACCACCACCCGAAGTGCCTGCTCGCGGGGAATCCGCCTCTGCCTCCTCCGCCTGGTTTGCCCTGCTCTGGGGCGCTGCGCGGCTTCCCTCTGCTCCCTGGCCCCCCGGAAGAGGCGTCTGCCTTCAAGCACGTGGAACGCGCCCCGCCCGCCGCTGCCACACCGCCTGGAGCGCGTTTCGCACAGCTCCCTCCGGCGACTGGCCTGCACCTCGAGCGATGCGCGCTGCCGGGCCTCGACGCAAGTGGGCTCAAAGCCTATCCGGGTAGCGAGTGCAGCCACCTGCCCGCCGTGATGCCGGCCTTTACTGTCTATAACGGGGAGCTACTGTATGGCTCAACGGCCGCCGCCGCCTATTACCCGCTCAAACTGCACTTCGGTGGGCTGCTTAAATATCCGGAGTCCATCTCCTATTTCAGCGGGCCCGCGGCGGCTGCGGCGGCGGCGGCCACGCTGAGCCCCGTGGAGCTAGGCTCCCTGACCAGCATCGACCGGGAGATTGCCATGCACACTCAGCAGCTCTCCGAGATGGCGGCTGGGAAAGGCCGCGGCCGCCTGGACGCAGGGACACTGCCACCCGCCGTCGTGGCTTCGGGTGGCGGGGGGAGTGGCGGCAGCGGGGGCGGCAGCGCCGGCAAGCCCAAGACCGGCCACCTGTGCCTCTACTGCGGCAAGCTGTACTCACGCAAGTACGGGCTCAAGATCCACATGCGGACGCACACGGGCTACAAGCCGCTCAAGTGCAAAGTGTGCCTGCGGCCCTTTGGCGACCCCAGCAATCTCAACAAGCACATCCGGCTGCACGCAGAGGGCAACACGCCCTACCGCTGCGAGTACTGCGGCAAGGTGCTGGTGCGGCGCCGAGACCTGGAGCGCCACGTTAAGTCCCGCCACCCAGGCCAGAACCTGCTCGCCAAGGCAGGCAACGGTCCAGGCACAGAGCCTGACTACCCCCGGGACCCCGGGGAGCCCAAGAGCGACAACGACAGTGACGTGGACGTCTGCTTCACCGACGACCAGAGCGGCCCTGAAGCCGGGGGTGGAGGAGAGCGCGTCTCCTAACCATTCTTGCCGAGAAGGGGTGTGTGTGGGGCGCGTGGACACAGAACTGGGGGTTCTGTACTGGAAGTAGAGAAGCTCTTGGTGGTGAGAAGGACCCTGTTGACAAAGTCGTTTTTATTTTGGCGGGGCGCCAGACTTTGCGACAGTGAAAGGTGCCGGGACCGGTGCTGAAACGCAGAGCAAAGGTTCAGAGGTGGCTTAAAGAAACCTGGCATCCCGGGGAGCCTGCGGGCCTGGGTCCTCGCGCTCGAGGACGCTGCGGATAGGCTTCCCCACGAACGCCCAGGCCGTCTGCTCTCGAGGTTAGGATCACATTAACGTGAACGTTGCTGGCGCCCTGGAGGGTGTCCACTTTAACTGTCACGTATTTTAAAATTGTTCTTTTCTGTGGAGGAAATTGTGCCTTTTGAAACGATGTTTTGTGGGTGTCTTTTACATTAGCATTTCACTGCGTAGGCAAAACAGTAGTCACAATTGGATAGATGTGGCATCCACACACTTGTCTCAGTTTCATCTGTTCAAAGACTGCGCCTTGCCGCATTGAATATATAGTGGTAGCAGGTGTACAAATTGGTCAAGTTGCAATTATTTATAAGAGAATAATGACAAATGTAAAATATCTAAAGCATGAATTTAAGAACACACAATATATAATTTTAAAGAAAATGTCCTATTTGGTAGAGTACAAATGTGATGTCTGTTTTATAATAATGATGTACAGTGGATTCAGTATTTTGGTCTTGGTTCCAGTTTGTGCAATCTTTAATAAAGATTAAGATACAAATGAGACTTGTTTACTTAATGATTTAAACAGATTCTTTACAGAAATAGTTTAGTATGAACACAATGTGAGAGGAGATGCCATAAATCATAGGACACTTGAATTATTTGATTTTTCATAAAATAAATGTTAAGTAGTGTTGTGATAAGGAAATATACCATTTTCAATATGTGCATTTCATGGGCTCCTAGATAGCAGGCAGGAAAATTATTTTCTGGAACCATTGTTAATCATACTAAGTGTCTTCATGTTTCTGGAAATAAGCTAATGACCTTCAAGAAAAATCACACATTTCTTGTCAAAAAGAATTATGGAACTGTAGAATCACTATTTCTTGTTATGTGCCCGTTTGACAGAACTGAAAAACCAGGGAAACTTGCTCAGTACCTTTTGTGATATACACACTTTTTAACATTCATACAACAAATACTAAATGAGGATCTATTTTTATTGGAGGTGCTGATCTATTCACTCTACATAGGCTTTTTCTCCTTCTTGGAAGAACAACCTCATGCTGTGGTATGGGTCCTATTTTACAGAAGAAAATAAATATACTCTTCAAGGTCACTGGAAGGCCCATAGTTAGAACAGCAATATTAGAAGCAGTGACTTTATCTAAGGATATTAAAATTAATGCTAGCTAATGGAAGATATAATTTTGTGGGTTAAAATTGGAAAGTACTCTTTCCCCTTTCTCCCCTCCCCCCCCACCTTCACCCCCCCCCCACACACACACACTCTGGGGAGGATTACTCTGCAGTTTTACTGAAAGCGGAGTAGTAGTCATTTCCTCAGCTAAGGACAGGTACCGTAAGAGCACTGCAGCCAGGGCTCTTCCCAGAAGATGGTGGGGAGATTCTAATAAGTCAGTGAAGGTTCTGGATATGCTTCTGATGATTTCGTCAGTTAAATGCCCTGTATTTTTGGACTCTCTGAGCACTGCAGCCATCTTCACCATGCTGGCTCCCAGTTGGGAACATGGCCTCAACCACTGGGTGGCTGGCAGGGGTCTTTCTGACTCATCATGGCAGGAGGCATGATTGGGAGGGAGGGCATCTGTTTTAGTGGTGATCAGTAAAATGATTTCTTCTATGAGAAAACTTTTGCTGGGAATAATTGGTTTCTTATTTATATTTAGTTATTTTAAATGTTAATTGACCAGAAGATGTTTTGCTTTGCAAAAGGAAGCCTAAAGAGAATTAAAAATATGTGGATTAACATGTACATATGGTGACAATAATACTACATTTATTTTTTATTTTTAAAGACCTCACTTATTTTTAGAGAGAGGGAGAGGGAGGGAGAAAGGGAGAGAAAAATTGATGCGTGAGAGAAACATTGGTTGGTTACCTCTCACACACTCCCAACTGGGGACCTGGTCTGCATTCCACTCATGTGCCCTGACTGGGAATCCAACCCTCAACCTTTTGTTTCACAGGCCAGCACTCAATCCACTGAGCCAGGGCTAATAATACATTTATTCAGGACCTACTTTGTTCCAGATCCTTATGCTATTTGCGATTCTTTTCTTCTCTACAGATGATTGTGGGCTTGCACCATCAGGTTCAGATAGCTTTGCCACACAGAACTGGAAGTGAACCCAAGCATCTGCCAGTTCAGCCTGGCCTCCAGGGGCCCAGGGCTCCTCACTAACTGCTTAGTATCATGGTTCTGCCATTTGAAGCAATTATTGCTTAAAACCAAATCTACTCTTACAGATTGGAAAACTTTTTCTGGAATCAGATAGTGTAAAACACAAGGAAAGTAGGAAGGGCTGTCCACATTTGAAACGTGGGAAAAATTAAAATATTTTATTTTATTTTTTAATGCTTCATGAGTTTGTGTGTCATCCTTGTGCAGAAGCCATGCTAATCTTCCCTGTACTGTTCCAATTTCAGTATACGCACTGCTGAAGTGAGCACAGTGAAAGTTTTTATCAGCTTTAAAAGTCATATTTTTGTCTCCCATTTCCTAACTCAGCACTAAGTCCTCTAACTCTTGTTGTTGTGTGAAAATAGACTCTAAAGAAATAAGTTAAAAATAGTTTAGTAAAAGGAAATACACTTAAAATTGACAAAGACTTTATAAAACAAACAAAAACAACAGCCCCCAGTCTTCTGTTTTCCTCTTTGTAAATTGATACCTGTATGATATAAAAAACGAAAATTGAACACAGATCTAAAAGACTCTTAATTGCAGGTCATTTGTGGTTCCCCACAGGTTGCATCATATAACGTGTACATGTCCATCGATGTGCACATCCTCATACTTAATTAATACAATTATTTATTTCAATGGCAAAGTCAAATCAGTGATATACAATCAATACAAGTGATATAAGCAACAATATCACTTATTTCAAGTGGCTCAGATGAACAGTTGAATTAGTGTTTCTCAGATTATTTCTTTCAATCTCCTATCTTCTTTCCCCCACCCTCACTCTCAACCCTCAATCCTTCTCATCCTGATGACCACAACTAACTTTGAGGGTTGTGCTAAAGCCACTGGAAGTTTCTGAGATTTTAACTGAATATTTTGTGCCAAAGGATTTTTTTAAAGGAGGATTCATGCCTTTTAGAAGTGAAAGACACTAGATAGTTTGTGCCTAGCTAATTTGGATATTAAAATGCTTTGCTAACCTAAATAAACCAGATAGAGGTGAGTTACAGGCTTGCCTCCATTACTTACTCATTTGACATCTCAGGCCAATTTCTTCATTGCCTTAAGTTCCTAACCTGTAAAACAGGGTGAAATAAACAACAAGGTAGTTTTAAAGATTGTAAAGTTGTAAAGATTCTAAGCAGTTTACCTGCTTAGAATCAAACACGATGAATATTAAGTTCTCAAACAATGCTGTGAGAGTAGACTGCAGGAGGAGGAAGGGGGAAAAGGAGAGAAGGAAGGAAGAGAAGAAGTGAGAAAGAGAGCAGCGATAGAAAGAGACTCAGAGATAAACTTTATAAAATGAAGAGGGAGGAGGAGAGAGAGAGGAGAAGAGAGGGAAGGGAAAGGAAAGGAAAGGAAGGGAAGGGAAGGGAAGGGAAGGGAAGAGAAAGAAGAGAAGAGAAGAGAAGAGAAGAGAAGAGAAGAGAGGAGAAGAGAAGAGAAATGCAAGGAAGAGAAGTGAGTTTGTGTACAGGAGTTGGGTGTGTGTGTGTGTTTGTGTATAAGGGGTGGTCTCTTTGGCTTCTTTCCTCCCTGTTTAAACCACTCAGAGCTTGCAGTTAATTCAACATCTGGCAGGGTCCAGCCTTCCCCCCCCTTCAACATTTAAACAAATTTTTTGATTATAATCCATTATAATCTTATAGACCCACAAGCCAAACACTATATGCAGTCTGTCAATCACGGAAACCCTTTATGCCTGCATAACTGTATTTAAAAAACTCTACCAACTCTGTGATTTCATCTTGAAGACATCAAGGGACCAGCTAAGGGCTGCTGCTCTTTTATATAAGCATTAGCACCTTCTTACAAGGGCACTCGATGGATCCCTGTCTTCTTGGTTCCCTTTTAGTCCCCAATAAGCTCAAGTTCCATTAAATAAAGCTCTTTCACATTTTCACTAAAGAGTAACTTTTTCAGACTCCCTTGTCAAGCCATCTTCCTATTTTGAAGACAGACACGGGTTCGAATGGTTCACAGCGGTTAAATGAATAGGAAGAATACTCTTTGTCTGTTTCCACTAATTTTTTGAATGGTCTGCTGTGAGATTTCAGCAGAAGAATGCAGCGGAGGTACATCTCCTCTCCTAAGACTGACAGAGAGGAGCAAATGGCTAGTGCTGCAATTCCTCAAGGTTCTACTCTAGGGAAAGTTTATTGACTGTATAGACTCCAAGGCAAGGAGGTGAGTAGAGGTGGAGCTCCAGGTTAGAAACGCGACTCCAGTCAGTTGCATTCGTGGTGCTGATGCTGGGGTTCCAGACCAGAGTGGGCGGTGATTGGCCGAGATTCTTTAGTCCGAGCGAGCTAATTTGCTCATCTTTTGGACCTAGGGTTGCGAGTGATAGCGAGCTGGCGGAGCGCGAAGGTCTGGACAAGCACTGCCTCCTGGGAACCCCTAGCCCAGTGGCGGTGTCGCCGCTTGGGTAGGTGCTACAGTGTCAGCCAGTGCGTGTAGCGCTGTTGTGGCTCACAGCTTTGCTCTCCTTGGCAACAAGAGTTTTCGGGTTCCGGTTGGGGCAGAGATTTGGGAGTCTCCCCACGTTTAGGTGTACAGTCAGGAGACCCAGAAAGGCGGGAGCCGGAAACCGGGAACTACTCCTCGCCCCGCCCCCCCAACCCCTACGGCAGCGCGCCCAGCTAGTCCTTGTTTAAGTGCCTTTGCCGGGCTCTGGCGAGGAGCTGCGGCACCAGTGCAGAGCGCCCTCACCATCTGCTGTTTCCCCAAAGGGAAAGGGACAGAGGCACTGGCGCCATCGATGGGTCAGACTTGACCCTTGGCCACCCAGGTGTGAGTTGTGAAGGGGAGTACTCAACAGAAGGCGGCGGCCACGGTATTTAGTTCCAGAAGGAGCGTGGCGCTCGCTCTGGGGTGGGTGACCTTCCTACAAAAGATGAAAGGAGTGCTTCTGTCATCTGCGACTGTAGTTTAATTCAAATTGGGTGTAACTGGTTGGGGATAGACAACTTGTTAATGCTTTTGGCTTGCAAACTATCCCCATTCCCTTCAAAAAGGGATGGAGATTGGGTGGACTTGTATATGTGGGTGTGAACCCTTTGGAGACAATGATTTTATTTCAAGTACAATTTGTTTTAATTGTTTAAATTTAAGCTTTTATGTAAGTTGATAAAAACAAAAGTGCAAGTTATTAAAGAATATAAAAGTGATAGTATAAAGACAGATTTCTGGTAGTCACAAAAGGATTAACAGGGTCGTTTTCATGT